TCTTCTGATGCTTACAAAACCATTCTAAGGTACAGTTTTAAGTGGTAAGTATATTCTCAATTTGTTTTTAGAAAAGTGTATGAACCGCTTTATCTCAATTTGGACTTTTTATTGTAAAAAATGAAGGTAAGTATAGGTACAAAAAAATTATCGCATCGTTATCAATTGTAAGGCTGCAATGAATCAATTTATTGTCTGTCGAATTAGTATTCTTAATTTTCGTTAAAAATGCCGGCGTATTTAACGGAAACTTTGAAAATAGAAATTTTGATGATGATTGGATTTGGGGATCGGATGCGTACCCAAGCAGAAGTTGCGGCATTATTTCAAGCGCGACATCCATAATTGCCTCCGTTACACCGGGCTACAGTAGGCAAAATTGAGGCTCATTTCAGGTTGCACGGGCATTTACGGCAAATTCCTCGAGAAAAGCCATAACGAGTAGACGAAGACACTAGATTAAATGTTCTTCTAACATTTGAGGAAAATCAATCAGTTCTTCCAGACGAGTAAGTAGGGAATTTCATTTGTGCCATAAAACTGTATTGGCTATCTTGAAATCTGCTGGTAAAAGACCCTTCAAAATGAAGCCTGTGCATGAGTTGATGGAAGATGATCCCGATCGGAGGGTGGAGTTTTGTGAAACCATAATGAGACAAATCGAAGATGGAAATATTTTACCGGATTGGATATTGTTTTCTGATGAATCAACTTTTACCTTAATTGGAGAGGTGAGTCTTTTTGATTAGGCACCTATCGATAACTCGCAACAATATTGTTAAATCTGTACGCTTTAGGCACGTTAGTGATCAAAGATCTTTAACTTTTGTGTCTTCATTTATAGGTAAATCGTCAAAATTGTAGGTGCTATGCAGAAACAAATCCACATTGGATAGTTGAGCAGCATAGTCAATATCAAGGAAAAATCAACGTATGGGCTGGAATAATTGGGCCCATATTCTTTTACCAAAATTTAACCGGCGACAGATATTTGGAATTTTTACAAAATACGTTGGTACCTGAACTTATCCAAACGTTTCCGACAGAAGATGGAACCATTGATCAAAGAATTTTCTTCCAACAAGATGGGGCTCCACCCCATTACGCTCTCTATGTACGACAGTTCTTAATTGACTTTTTCCAGAACAGGTGGATTGGAAGAAGGGGATTTATTGAATGGCCAGCTAGATCTCCTGATCTTACTCCATTAGATTTTTATTTATGGGGCTTCTTAAAATATAAGGTATACGCCACAAGACCCAATAATATTGAAAAGCTAAAGGATAGAATTAGAGAAGAAATTCGGCAAATTACACCTGAAACATTAAGCTGAATTTTACCACCGTGTTGCTCTTTGTCAAGAAGTAAATGGTGCTCATTTTGAACAGTTGCTAAAATAAAAAGAAATAAATCCACTTAGCGAGTAGAATATGTATTATTTTTTATTTAAATGTAAAACAAAACTTAATTTTCCACGAATTACCTTCCATTTTCATGTTTCTTTGATTAATTTGGGTATTCCTAACCATGTAGATGGTTAAATTTTGTGTAAATTTTTAAGATAAAACGCACTGAATATAATTTTAGATCCCAGTTTATGCACAACTAATTTTTGTTGTATTTTGTCCCCGATTCTTCTTTTTTCAGCATAGCATAGCATAGCATAACAGTTAAAATGAAAAAAAAAATGGCACAATCAATTTTCTTTTGGAAAGACCTTTCCAACAAGGTGCCGCAAGTGGTACCATCCCATTTAAAAAAAATAGGTCGGGGTGAGTTTCACCCTCTAAAGGGGATAAAAAAAAATGTTTGGTATGACAGGAAAGCTTACAAAAAATCTCAATTGACGTGTTTTGTTAACGCTGTATTATTATTAATTAAAAAGTTAATAACCAATCTAAATTTCTCAGTATTCCAAATCAAGTGCCTTTTAGTATACAAGCCTTTTAAAGGAATCATAATAAACAAAATAGTCAAGATGATAAAGACAAAAAAAAACTTTAAAAGGAGGAAGTCTCAATTCTTTTCTGGTTTTGCTCGTTTAACTCTAGGAAGATCCGAAAGAGATAATTGTTCTGCATCAACAAGAAAAAAAATTAAACGGTTCATTTAAAGAAAAATAAAAATATGCCAAGCAAGGTATAATAAAATAAGAAGCATAATTTTTATTGGTTATATAAATAAACTTAAGATTTTAACTGAATATTTGTAGGTAAATTTTAAAACAATACGTGGATATTTATTTTTTAGTAAATATACAAAAATTCGCAACGGGTTGAGATATAAAAAAATTAACCTCAACCGACACATAGTATGCCTACAGAAGTTACGCTCGAGCAATTTTCAAATTATACTTGTTTTACAAATTGCCCACGTTTAATAATTATAACACTTTCTAGATCTGGATTTCTTTTAAAGAATGTTAATTTTGACAAATAATTAACTATTATATTCTGTCTGTCATGAAGGTCGTTATAATTTTTTTTAATAATTATCCAATTTGTGTAGATTGATCAGCAATTTAAATATCTCATAATGAGATGCTTTTCTGATTTTCACCATCATAATTCCGAAAAAATGGTGAACTGTACTTTCTAATCAAGATTGAGTATCTTTTAAAATGTATTGTTTGTAACGTAACAAAGAGTGGGCAGAAGAAGTCTTGATCTCGTAACGACAAAGTTACTGAAAGTTTGTCAAAAGCTTATCAAGATTAGGTAGTTAATTTGATAAATACCATTGCTCATCTATTTTTTTTACGTGGACATATCGTCGTCAATATCACGAAGTGACGTAACTTGATTTTCACAACTTTACAAGAGAGCGTTTGTAGAGCATACTTTTTTACATAATTAGGCATTCCAACGACCTGTCAAACCATATGTGCCAGTGGGAAATTCTTGTATATCTAAGGGGGGTAGCGACATAGTCTTGCAACTTGGACGCTATTTTTATTCGAAGTAGTAGTCGCCAAGCCTGCCAATTTATGAAGAAATGTATAGGTAGGTTTTTTAAATATTATTTTTATTGTGTTTGACATAAAATATTTAAATGTAATCCATTATTCATGATTTTACGTAAAGTAGATAGAATACACCATATGTCGCCACCCTTAGATATACCAAACCTGCCCACTGGAATTCATTTGTTTGGAATGCCTAATTAGGCATTCCAACGACCTGTCAAACCATATGTGCCAGTGGGACATTCTTGTATATCTAAGGGGGGTAGCGACATAGTCTTGCAACTTGGACGCTATTTTTATTCGAAGTAGTAGTCGCCAAGCCTGCCAATTTATGAAGAAATGTATAGGTAGGTTTTTTAAATATTATTTTTATTGTGTTTGACATAAAATATTTAAATGTAATCCATTATTCATGATTTTACGTAAAGTAGATGGAATACACCGTATGTCGCCACCCTTAGATATACCAAACCTTCCCACTGGCAATTCATTTGTTTGGAATGCCTAATTAGGCATTCCAATGGGAAGATCTGATATATCTGAGGGGGGTAGCGACATAGTCTTGCATCTTAGACGCGAAATAGTACTCGCCAAGCCTGCCAATTTCTCTAACGCCATATTAATTCATAAATTACTTTTACCACAATCTGTAGGAGTCTTTGATTTACTACAAATCATTTTGAATTAAAAATGTATCTAGTTCACTTATTTTTATTCTGCCTATATTCAAATTATTTTCTATTAAATTAATATAATATTTTCTATTTGACATGTTCCTAATTGAAAGTCAGATTAGAAATGAATGACAAACTGTATAAGTTTAAGGAAATGCTTTTACTTACGAACCTATGCGTATTATATTTCGGTTCCACCCACGATTCGATAATGTCCATGATAACGATACAACTTCTTTTTTAGAGGTACATGTTTATTGTTAGGAATTGTATATGAGTTCATTATAATTTGATTGAGTAGGTACATTTACAGTTTTTTTTTATTTAAATTACGCAAGATGAAAGCTCCGGAGAACTTGACAGTATAACAGAATCTTTGTTCGATTTTATTCCAAACTAAGTCACGATCTGGAGTTTAAAAAAATTACGTACGCACAGCTTGTGAAGTAAAATACTGATTGATTTGATGCTTTATTTATGTTAATAATGAATCGACAAAATTTTCAATAATAATGTAGACTAGTTATGACAGTAGCGTATCAACTTCTCAGATAAACAAAAGAAGTAGACAGCTAGGGGTCAGAGTTTGTTTGAAGCCAAGAGGTACCCTTCCTTCTACTTTCTCTCTCGTCTGATTTCTCGATATGATAATATTTTTATATTATTCCTAAAAATCGGATTTTAATATTTAATAAAACGTTTCGTTTTTGTTTATTTATGAATCAATACTGAATATTTTAGGTTTTCCTATCCCAAGCATATATTTGTAGAATCCGATTACGATTAGAAGAACACAGACCCGTTATCACCTGAAGTACCGCCCTTTCTAGTAAAGACTTGGCTTCCTTGACAACCGCTTGTTTCGGATGCGTTTTACCATAAGCGTCGTAAGCACTTATTTTCACAAATGTTTGTTTACGTTTTAAAAATTCGGCTGTCTCAATACAAAACACAGTAACTCACATTATGGTCGAAATTTATTTTATTAGATTTTTGTAATTGCTGTGTTTTGCTGAACATTTTGGTATTTTAAAATCTAAAATCGGTTAATAAATAAGAAAAATACAGTTTATTGAGAACACAGTAACTGCTCGCTAAAATAGATTTTACCACTACAAAACACAGTAATTACCAAAATCTATATCAAAACATAGTAACTGCTTGGCAATTACTGTGTTTTGTTATGGTTTTTGTTGTTACTGTGTTTTGTTAGTGAAAAATTCGGTTTAAATTCATCTTTAAGTTTGATCCCCACCATTATACCACCCGAGTTAAAACTATAAGTGTATTCCGTATTCCGTCTTATCTTGAATCAGTCTTCTGCAAATAAGTGAAGCAAACAGTTTGTTCTCAGCGAGAGGATGTCCTCATCCGGCGATGCATTAGCTGCATCATGTAGTGTGCGAACACGACATATGGTGAATACTGCTCGTTCTTGCTCTGAGAAGGTAAGTTAAACCATATGAAATCTTTCATTTTCTTTTAAAATTTATGCTTTTTAAGAATGATGACCAATTGCCACAAGAAATTTACTACTTGGATAGGTTAAAGACATTTGCCTCAATCCACTTTTCACTTGAAAATCATAAATCAATGTGCGACCTTTTTGAAAGCTCCGTCGATGATAGTGACCTGGACAAAGATTACAATCCTACATCTAGCGATAGCGAATACGATGATAACATTGTAGAACAAAAAAGGAAAAAAAGAAAGGTGAAAACATATTTTTTTTTCATTTAAATAAATCTGTGTTATTTCTAGAAAAACCATATTCAGCTAGAGATCACCAATGAAGACAGAAACGGGGAAAACAAAACGGAAGCTCCTGAAATCCCAAAAATGGACAAAGTAGTTTCAGTGATGATAAATTTGTTTATTATTTCTATTTAGAAATTAAGTTTCTTTTAGATTGACGAAAGGAGTTAAAATATTCATACAGATAGTGAAGAAAGAGCTGGGAAAAATGACACTGAAGCTAGTAATTTATCCAATAAAGTCCCTGAACGCGATGTACCCGTTTTAGAAGTAAAATATTTATTTAATGTTCTAATTGAAAGACTAAATGTGGTATATTTTTGTAGAATAATACTGTACAGTCAGGAAGCCCAAATGAAGAAAGGGAGAGGCAAAATACTGGAGCATTGAAAATAACTAGAAAAAGACTAGTAGGAATGGAAAAAATCGATAGAGATAAAACTAAACATCCTATATGGGCCATTTGTGAAGGAAAATGTAGAAGGCAGTGTAAATATCTAACAGAAGATCATCGACACTCTATTTGGAATCAGTACTGGAATATGGAATACACAAGAAGGCGCAAATGGTTAAGTAAACATTTAAAATTAATCCCTGTAAAACGTAAAAGCATGTCAGCTCAACATTCAAGATCGGAGTCAAGGTATTTTACTCTGCCACTTTCAGATTTTACTAAAATAGCTGTATGCATACTAAAATTTCTAAATACTTTGAGATATACTAATGATTCGGTGATAACCGAATTAGTTGCAGCAATTAAAAATAGGCCCTTGCAGAGATCAGGTAAATGAGCACAGAGGAGGAAGTCATGGACCAGAAGTTAACCGATATATAATTAGAAATCACATTAAATCGTTTAATCCTTGCGTGAGCCATTATAGAAGAAAAAATGCGCCTAATGTAAGATATTTACCTAGGGAGCTCACAATTAAAATTATGTATGATGATTTTGTTTTAAAACATCCAAATTTATGTAAAGTTGAAGTTTATAGAAAAGTTCTAAAAGAGATGAATATTTCTCTTCGGCAACCTAAATCAGATATTTGTGAAGAGGTTCATCTTTAAAAAACATTCTGGAAAACGCAGGTGATGAAATCATTCAAAATCAATTCGATTCTTATCGTCGTCTTATCGGCGAAGGCAAACGTGGAATATAAAAAAGACTCGGACGATGCAGCAGCTGCAAGTGCAACAAATAAACGAATTTACTCTGTGGATCTACAAAAAGTGATTATTTTACCTATAATGCCTCAAAGCAAGTCCGCATTTTTTACAAGTAGACTTGTAGTTTTTAATCAAACGTTTGTCAATTTAAGTAAAGAATCCTCTAATAAAAGTTATTGTGTGCTATGGCACGAAGCCATAGGTGGACGTAAAGCCGAGGCTCTTGTTGATGCTATGTTCAAAGTAATTGAGAAGGAAAGGGATACTACCGATTTTGTATTTTGGGCAGATAATTGCACCGCCCAAAACAAAAACTGGCCTTTGTACACCGCACTTGTGAAAGTGGTCCAAATCAAATTGTCATTCGCTATCTCACCAAGGGCCACACTCATATGAGTGCATTCACGGTAACATCCAGCAGAAACTCTTAAGAAAAAGAAACATATATGACTTTCAGGAGCTCCTAGAGGCTGTCGAATTATCCAGAAAAAATCTGGAAGTTCTAGAATTAACAGAGTTTCACTTGTGGCTAAACAAATACAAAAAAGATAGAGGATCCATTAAAGTCTTTTTTGTTGAAAGAACTAGTGGTAGTCTATATATTAAAAAAAGTGAATTGAAATTATGCATGAATGATGACATTGAAATGCACAGGATTTATCTTTACGTTAAAGCTTACAAAAACTGCAAGAACTACGGAAACGGAAAAAGAATTTGAACATGATGAACAAGCCATTAATTATATTTTTGTTCCTTTTTGATGTATTCAGTTACCTCATTTTCAGTTCCTATTTTTTTGTAACCTTAAAAAGTATTATAATTTATTTTGAGTTTTGTTTGTTACAAATAAAAAACTTTAAATTTCTTTTAAGATTTTTTTTATTGCAAAACAAAGCAAAGGCAATTACTGTGTTTTGATACAGTATAATCCAATTTATATAGAAAAAATCTATCGCAAAGACCATTACTGTGTTTTGATATAGTAAACCTAATTTTTTTTAAAAGGAAATCCCATGCAAAACCTTTATTTTACCTGCCGCACTATTTGTATAACAACTTATCCTCTTCAAATATTGTTAAAAACAATAATTGAGGTTATAGCCGAATTGTATCTAGTTATCGACACAAATTCCCAAGAATGTTTATCTTTGGTTCGGTAATTGGGATGAAATATTAGAGGTTGGTTGTGTTTATATATATTAATACTATTAGGTGTAGGATTGGAACGAGATACAAGAAATGAATTTAATTTTCGAGGGAAGAAATTCATTCCAAATATCGCTAGAAAATGCCTCTGGTCCAAAGTAGGCGGTTCAATCAACAACTGACTCCACAAAGTTATGACGCACCTGTGTTCTTCTAATCGTAATCGGACCTTAACATCTTAATTTCTTAATAGGTTCCGTCGAAGTATCCCATAAATACAGTCTGTAAATCATGAGTTCATAAGTCTGTCCTCAGGACCTTCGATGAACTAAAAATAATACAAACTTTATACTCTCCATGATCCGTCGATCCTCTAACAAAACGTGATTGTGAGGCCCATTGATCTACGGAGATTCATTATTGTTATTTTTCTCGTTGCGATGGTTACAGAGATCCGTTAACCTCGAAAGATCCGTTGATATTGTTGCAATGGTTAGATATACCCGTTGATCTCTTCGTGTTAAAGATCCGTCTATCTTTTCGTCTTGGAGATCCGTTGATCTTGGTGATCTGTTTTCGTTGGCATCTTTGTGTTGAAGATCGAATTTCTTTACAGATGTTTTTATGAGGGTATTAATACTTCTCGTGTCAACGAGACAAGAGTATTTATGGCCATTAACAAATTTTTTTCATAAATAAATGGGTAGATTCTTCAGGGTTATAGAACAATACTTTTACATTAAAAATTTAAAATCGGATTATAATATTTTACAGAACGTTTCGTGTTAGTTCATTTACCAATCAATTCTGGATACTGTTATGTGAGCCATTTCATTATTCAATCATGCTCCAACCCTCCAAGTCCCTCTCTGTCTTATTTAGCCTTTGAGGCTCAACTTGTCCGATTATTATACATAATTAGACCCCCTAAGACCAAACCTATGTGAAGACTATGGCGGAGGTACTTTCGCGAACATTTCAGAGTCAACTATATAATGACTATATCTAGTCTATTCCAAATATAACGTGATAGTGTTTCTAATTTTTGGCGAGAACGTTCTGGAACCTTCACCATAATTTTAAATAAAAAACATCACAATACTTTAGTTTCAATAAGGATAATTTCCTGATCGTAGCAGAATTTTATATAAATAAAAATTTCCTTGGTTCAACCGGTCATGTTTTTATTACGCACGAGCACTACGTACAGGGTGTCCCAATAGTGTGTGGAAGTTCGATATATCCTATATTATAGAAATTATCAAACAATGTTATTTACAAAAGTTGTAGATAATATTAATCTGCACATTTCAAAATTATTTTCGATTATACAGAGTGATCCATAACTTCAGAATTGATCAAACCTATGTTTTTTAAATAGACCACCCTATATTTAATTGTAAATTTGAATTCTCCTGACTTTGCCCTTCAAGAAAATACCAACATGTATGAGGTTATACTGGGTATTTTGGAAGTTTAAACCAATTTTATATGAAAATCGTACTAGGTTCAACTTTCTGTAAATTTCAAAAGAAACAATCGAACATCAAAATTTTTTGATGAGTCATTTTTGATGATAGTCTACTTTTATAAGAATATACTAATTTTTTCCTAGCGCAACAGACAAGTACAGGGTGAGTCAAAACTCAGATACATGATTTTCTCAATTTTTTTAAATGTAACATCCTGTATTTCATATCACTACTTAATTATACGTTCGTTTGAGTTAAATTTTACCTTTCCCTATACACAACAGTTTAGCGAGATTCTTAGATGACATGTTAAAAAGGGTTAATTATAACTAAATTCACAATATAGGATATATCGAACTTCCCCACACTATTGGGACACCCTGTATGTTTCGGAAATTGTAACATTATTAAGACCCCATTGTTCTTTTATTTTCACTGCTAGTTCCCTATATTTTTGTATTATGTATCCTGGAGGTTATTCGTATGGGATAGGGCTACGTCAATTAACAATGCCTATTTTTCTATTTTATTATTTAAAGTTATAACAGGTCTATTTGCTTGAATAGTATACGACCAGTAAGCAGGGTTCTGTCCCAGTGTAATACAACGATGTCATTTTCCATGACCCTCTAAGGAGTATATTTATAATAAGGGGTGTTTTCTTGGGATAATAATAAATTTAGTGCTATTTTCTAGTGTATTATCTTTACCACCTGGTCATGTCCGACCTTATAGTCTATTTGTACCATTGACTGACACCCCGTTGTTATATGGTGGATAGTTTCTTTTGCACTTTTACATCTTCTACAAAGATCATCAGAAACCATTCGGTCTTTTAGGATGTGTTTCGCATAATAACGTGTTCTGATGACTTGATCTTGAATTGCGATCATAAAATCTTGCGTCTCTGGGTATAACCAATCGTATGACGCTTTTTTGTCGACATTCTGGCCATCATCAAATCTTCCATGAAACGGTTTTTCTTTCCATTCATTGATCAAGTCTTCCTGCGGTTTGATTTTTCTATTGTCATCTCGGTCTTTAAGGTTTAGCGGGGTGTACTGAGTTAGATCTATGTGGAAAATGTATAGAATAGAATTTATTCGTCAATAAAATATTTTTTTACATTTTTACAATGTTTAAAAAAACTTATCAGACTAGTCAGCTCATACACAGTACGTCCATACAAAAGACAGAAAAAACAAAAACACCATTCACACTGTCCAATTCATACAAGTTTAAAATTCTAGATCTAAGATTATAGATAATATATAATATACAGAAAACTAACACAAAAGACAGTTAAAATTAACATTAGGTAACATTTAGTTTTCTATATTGCCTAAAATTCTAACAGAATGGTTAAACAAGATGACTCCTTGATAATAAGGAGAGTTTTGACCCACTGTTAATCTTGAGAAGGGTGTACGAAGTTCGCCACCTCCTCGAGTAGGATAGGGGTGTATCATATTATTAGAAAATTTGATGTGAAATATTTTTTTTAATATATAACACCAATAGATAAATAAACGAGCATGGAAGAGTTAATATTGATAACTTGATAAAATATTGTTGACAATGTTCCGAAGGATAGGCTCCTATCATGCATCTAATAATACTTTTTTGCAAGAGAAAGACTTTATTATGGGCCGAATTTTCCCAGAAAATCAAGCCATATAAAAGTACCGAATGCACTAGTCCGTAGTAGGTTAGTTTTAGTACATCCAAAGTCACAGTAGGTTTAAGTTGTCTGATGACAAACCAAATGCTACACAGCTTAGATACAATATTATCTATGTGGCTTTCCCATGTGGGCTTGTGATCGATTGTTAAATTTAAAAACTTGACCTCCCTTACCTTACCTGGTGTAGAGATTTATGTTCAATTTTTATTAATTGACTTTCGTCGAGGCTTGAATTTTTCGGTTAGAAAAGCATGAATACTGTTTTATTAGAATTAAGATATAGGCCATTATTTAGGCACCAATGTTGGAATTCATTT